ACAGGGGTGGTGAGAAGATTCACCAGCGACAGAGTGGGGAGCAGAACAGGCCAACTCACGAAGTACACTGCTGAGGGGAGCAGTGGGCGGGTCAGTTGAGGTCTGCCGCGCTATGTGGGTCACCTCCAGAGCAGGCAGATGTGGATCGAACTCATGCTGAAGTGGGTTTAGCTTCTTAGTGCTGTGCTTTAACCTACTGTGCCACCAGGGAGGACCCCATGGAGGATATTCTTAATTCCAATGTTTTTCCATACTGAAATGTTTAAATATTTTAGCGTAAATATCTCACAGGGTCAATCTTTTGGCTTATAGAGTATCATGCCTTTCTTTGACAAATATTTTTATAAGGGAAATTTGTAAATTTGATTGTTTGTGTGGTTCTTTTGAGTGTTTTACCAGGTTTAATTGCTGTAATAGCCATTGGGCTTATCAATTTCATTTTAGTTCATCCCCTCCTGGGTACCTCAGGTTTATGGTTAGGTTTTAGGGGTCCATTTTAAAGTTGGTCTGATTCTTTGTTTGGTTTCTCTTTATTCTACGTATAAATGAAACCATCCATAATTATCTATCTACTCCTAGCTTATTTTTACTTATTATAATCCCTTCTGGTTCATGAATGTTGCCTCAAATGATTTTGTCTTTTTGATAGCTGAGTAGTATTCCATCATGTATATCACCACATCTTCTTGATCCATTCTTGATCAATTCATCAACCTAAAGGACACATGCCCGTTGTCCATCTGCATATCTTCTTTGGAGAAGTGCCTGTTTAGCTCTTCTGAACATTTTTTGATTGGGTTGTTTGTAGAGCTCTTTGTAGATCTGTGATATCAGTTGCTTATCTGATGTATGGCATGCAGATATTTTCTCCCATTCTGTAGGGTGTCACTTTGGTTTTATTTCTGTCTCTTGCTATACAGAAGCTTTTCAGTTTATTGTAATTCAAATTTATATTCTCCTTTGTTTTTTATTTTTTGCTGCTAGACAAAATTTCTCAAAGGTGATTTCTGAAATTTATGTCTTTGAGTGTTTTGCCTACGCTTTCCTTTATGTATATTATGGCTTCAGGTCTTACATCCAGATCTTTTATCCATATTGTGTGGATTTTCATCTGTGGTGTGAGACAGTGATCTAGTTTCATTCTTTTTTATGTGGCATTCCAATATTCCATGTCCTGGTCTTCATCTCTGTGATGCCTGCTCTGCCCAGAATCTTGTTTTACTGAGCTCTTTGCTTTAGTAGACACATGTTGACCTCAACTCCTTTGCCTTTGCTTCTACTCTGCCTGGAAACTCTTCCCTTGCTTCTCACCTGGCTGATTTGCCACTTACCCTACATTATCTTTGGCTGTCTTCCTCTTCTACCACTGTTGTAGCCCTTGTTCAGTTATTAGTCTTTTGCCTTTACAAGCTGCATTTTGTCCAGTGTCCTATTATTTAAGAGATCAGCTCTTTGCTTTTCATGATGCCGGTTATTGGAGAAACTTACCTCTGATAGGTGATAAGTGCTTTTGATGAGTTTCTTGAGTGTTTCTCAAGACATTTGTATTGGGACACCGGTTTTCACAGTGGGGAGATAAGACCATTTAGAGGGATATAGGTAGAAACTGTACCAATTTTTATTTCTATTATTTCAGAGAGCATAACTAAGAAATTGAGGTTTTCTAATATTGAACATTTTCATTTATATAATATTACAAATCTAAGCTGACATTGATAATGTGTACTAAATATTTTTATTGTATGCTTCATTATAAAATTTGAGGGCCACTGCTCCAGAGGCATGCTGATATCCTGGTGAATAATTCTTCAGGCTTCCTGGCACTGTACTGACTTTTGCATTCACCTAGTGTTTCCTGTGTGTTAGGCACTGTGCTGTAGATATAATAGGTCTCAGCATACTTATTCCTCATAACTATGAGGTTGGTATGATTATTTATTTATTTATTTATTTTAAAGATTTATTTATTTGTGCATACAGAACTGAGGTACAGGCCAGAGGCTCAGGGGTGGCAAGAGGCTTCACCAGAGACAGAGTGGGGAACAGAACAGGCAGATGGACGAAGTACACTGCTGAGGGGAGCAGCGGGCGGGTCAGGAGAGGTCTGCCACGCCATGTGGTCACCTCCGGGGCAGGCGGGGTCGAACTCATGCGGAAGTGGCTTTAGCTTCTTAGTGCTGTGCTTTAACCCGCTGCGCCACCAGGGAGGGCCCTGGTATGATTATTAACACTCCACTTTATAGATGAACAAATTGAGCTTGGAGAGTCAGCTACCTTGTTCAGGGATGGTGCTGCTATGTGGCTGATTGAGGATAAACTGATATGGTCTGATTCCCGAGGCTACTTGCTGAACCGTGTTCTTTGCTATGCTTTGGCGCCTGTCTCTTCGCATGGGGTAGATCTATGTGACCTTCTGTAGGAAAGGGATCATGTCTTTCTGTTAATTTAGTCCTTAATGCCTATCCTATATAATAGAACTGACAGCCTATCATCACCTTTGAATTCGTGTCACTTAAAAGGGAATTTTGGATAAGTATTCCTTTTTTTCAAAAATACTTGAAATATTTCCCCCATAAATAATGGAGCTGATAGGAAACTAGCATGAGGTAAACTAGCAGCCCCATGTTTAGAAACTTTATATGAAAAAGAGTGCATCATTTTATCCCTAATGAATCAGTTATGAGTCCCAGCTCACTCCTGACATGACTAATGCCTTCCTTTTCTTCCTTTATCATGAGGGTATGAGAACATGAGGAGTAAACCTTACATCAGAACATATATAACCTTAAATAGCAACGAACACAACAGTAGTGGCAACAAAAATGATAATGGAAAGAGAAGCAGAAGTTAAAATTTTTTGGGGGTGACTCATCCACTGATGACCTTTTAAGTCTGACCCAGCTTTCCTTAGTTCTTTGGCACGAGATTATGTAATAATCTCTCAGGTTTTCTGGGCATAAATAAAATTATTTTGTCCTGACATTCATAAGGTTAACATAACCTTAAGACATAAACAATCTTAAGTTTTGATTCTATACATTTATGATTCCTGTTCCATCTAAAGAGTATCAGGAATGGCTTGCCAGTGCTGTATTATATTATCATATTAAAATTATGATTCTGGGGGGAGGTTGAAAAAATAAAATTATGATTGTTTTCTTTCCCATTTTCCTTTTAGGTTCCTTCAAGATAATAACTCTGCCATCAGTAAGTACCTATTTAAAATTTTGGCTTCAGAAGTATACAGCACATCAGTGAATTAAATACATTAATATTTTATTGGCTTTCATCAACTTGTATTCCTTGGGAGTTTGGCTTGAGATTATTTGAGAATAATATTCCTTGAAGAAGATTGGTTGTTAGGTCTCAAAATTCACATCAGAGATTTTCCTCCTATAAAATAGAGAACTCTTAGTGAGGAAAACTGGCCTGCACTATTAGCACAGTAACTTGGCCCTATTTCTGCCTTCGTGAGCCTTCCTGACTCTGTAATTAACACTGGCCGTCAGCTTCTTCCTCTTGGAAAAGGACAGTGCCTGCTGAGCCTTGTTGGAACCTGAAACACAAAGATTCTGTCTTAATTTAAAATTTTTATTCTTTGGTTCATACTTAATATTTGCATCACTTTTGATATTTAAAATATTGAAAATACTATTGGCACTCCTTTCATTTTATAGCATAGGCAAGTGCTTTACTCAGCTCACTCTAGTTCCTGGCCTGGAAAAGGTGGGTAAAGATATTGTCTCTATTTCAGAAGGGATAACATTGGAAACAAAGGGAGATGTGAAAGTGCTTTAAAATTGCTGTTATTATTTTATTGAGTGAGTCATAAAATCTGATGACTAAATGTTATTTGCAGGATGAACTAATCCTTCTTCTAATAGCTTTGATTCGGAGGTTTGTCCTTTTATTATTTCATGTTTTGTTTCTGGGCCTCATGTGTTTAATGTACAACGTAATAGACCTCAGCATTCATTTATTTCTGAGAATAGATGACTTAATGATTTTGACTCTGACATATTACGTATTTATGTAGGATTAGTATTACTTGATGAATCATTAACTATTGAAGGTAATTTGTGAGGAAAGAAAGCACATTTATCTTGGAGCCTTCCAAGAGAATATATTGCTCCTAAGTCTTATAAAAATTGCTTATATTCCATAACTATTATGCTTTTTATCTATTAAGAAATATTCTGCTTTTCAATTGTTAAGCAGAAAAGTGGAGGGGTAAAGAGGTATAGCATGCAGAATCTTAGGGAATACCCCAAGCTAAGTGATAATAAAATATTAGATTGTGTCAATAAAACCTAAAATGTTAGATGCAGGTTAATGCTTGTGTGTTTATATCTTTGTTGAAAGAATATTTCATTGAGAAGACGGAAATAAATTCTGTGTCATGTAATTGACCTAACGCAGAAAGGGAAGGGACTTCATCTTAGCTGAAAGCACAACAGATGGTTTTCTCAAAGAAGTCTGCAGTTACACAGGCCGGAAGTATACAAAGGCTGAAAGGAGAAGGCATTTAGGCAGGACAAGGCTCTCATGTTAATTCTGACAATGGTGGTGTAAACTATTCATTTAAACTATCATTAGCAGGAAATTTGGCCACAAAAATTCTCTGAAATATTTACTATATGAAATACTAATTCCAACATTCTATGTCTTTTTAATATTATTTTGTTTCTATTGTATGTAGATATAGCAATTATTTATTAAAATACTTACTAGAGAAAAGTACATCCCTTTTTAGGAAAACAATTTTAAAGACAGTCATAAAGTGGGAAACTTTGATGATGCTTGGCACAAATGGAAGGTTCTGCATTTTTTATGAGTTTTCAATTAAAATAGACCCAAATTTCAAAGTACATTTGCATTCTTATTTTTTAAGGCCCTCATGAATTTTTGCTGCAAAATGTGAATTTTCTAGGACTGCATTAAAATAAATGTGTTTTTAATAGCTGATTAGCTCATCATTTTTACTTTTAATACACTAAAATCAGTCTTTTAAAGGAAGTTAATTAAAAACATAATTTGATTCTTAGTATAAAGGTTATGTTTTGTACAAAATACGCTAGAAAATGCTTCTCTTATTCTCTTTGTAAATATATCCAATTCAAAAGAGAGCTTTTTAAAACATAAATACTATTTCTTATTTTATTTTTAAAAATTTTATTAGTATTTTCAATTGATGCAAAGTTGGCTTACATCATTCCTAGTATTTTAGAAGTATAGGGTCCCCCTTTCTCCCTTAGGCATTGCTACCTTAGTGTCCCTACCACCAGAATCATCAAAGTCCACCCCATAGTGCTTCCTTCCATCTTTGTTCCCACCTCTTCCCTTTTTGGATATCTCAGTTCTGTAATCACCTTTCAATGGTTAGTTTTTAAGATTGTCTGTATTTAACCCTTAGTCTGGTTTCTCTGTACCCCACATATTAATGACATCATCCATTATTTATCTTCCTCCTTCTAATTTATTTCCCATTTGAACTCCCTCTGTGCCGCCACCAATGACATAAGTTTATCTCTGTTGCTCACTGAGTAATATTCCACTGTGTATATATACCATGTCTTCTTGTTCTACTTATTTGTTTTGGGGCATTTGGATTATTTCTATAGCTTAGCTATTGTTAATAGTGCTGTAGTAAAGATGGGAGTGCTAGTTTCCTTTAGAATTTGTATTTTTTTTAAAAAGATGTGTTTATGCATACAGAACTTGGGTATAGGCCGAAGGTATGGGGCAGCGGGAGGATTCACCAGAACAGGCGACTGACGAAGTACACTGCTGAGGGGAGCAGCGGGCGGGTCAGGAGAGGTCTGCCGCACCATATGGGTCACCTCTGGGGTGGGGATTGAACTCATGTTGAAGTGGTTTTAGCTTCTTAGTGCTGTGCTTTAATTGCTGAGCCACCAGGGAGGGCCCTTTAGAATTTGTATTTTTGATTTTTTCTGGTAGTTGTCTAGGAATGGCATTACTGGGCTACATGGCAGGTCTATTTTTAATCTTGCAAGCTGCCTCATCAGTGCTTTCCACAGGGGCCGAGCCAGTCTGCGTCCCCACCGACAGCGAATGAGAGTTCCCTTCTCATCACAATGTTGCCAGCACTTGTTGCTGATCTTTTTGATATAAAACATTAAAAGTTTGTTTTCACTGTAATCACTAATAGAGTGTGAATATAAATTTTTGACTTGAATTTATTAATTTTGTTTTGTAAATTATTTGAAATGTTAACTATTTTCATTACCTAGTTATTAATGAAACAAGAAAGATGCTATTTCAAAAACCTTTTAAAACGAAATGACTTCAGACAGCCCAGATTAGAATAAGAAATCCATGTACTGTCCACCAGTAAGCGGTGGACAATCTTACCGCTTGAGAGCATCGAATATAAGAAGGCAGATTTGATTCTAGGAGGGCACACATCCTTGGTTCATGTTGACTCACAAGTACCTGGAATACCTGGTGTTAGAAGATGCTCAATAACTATTTATTTATTGGAGAAAAGCAAAAAATCAATACTCAAGGTGATTTGAAGGTGATGTTATTAATCATTTTTTTCTAGCTTTTATTAAATTTCAGAATATACAAGATTTTACAAATACACAATATAAAAAATACAAATATATAAAAGAACTTCAAAGAATTTCATAGTGATCAGTCCTATACCCAGCAGTTGGTATCTATTAACATTTTATGATCTTTGCTGTACTACATACTATTCATGTACCCATCTCTGTCCATCCCCTGATTCATCCTATTTTAAAAATACACATCCTAGTAAATTGTAAACACTACTTTTCTCTCTAAATATTTCATGTTTCCTGTGACCATTTTGTTGGTGGTTAGTTACTTTTCCTTCATATTCTTATGCACATTGCTAGCTTTGTGTGAGCTGCTATTCCTGAAAACCCCCGCTGAGCTTTCTGTGAACAAAACTTATTTGCAAAAAGGAGTGAGAATGCAGTTTCAGAACTTTAGGTTTATTTATTTATTTTTTAAAGGTTTATTTATTTGTGCATACAGAACTGGGTACAGGCCAGAGGTGCAGGGATGGTGAGAGAATTCACTGGAGACAGAGTGGGGAGCAGAACAGGCAGATCAACGAAGTACACTGCTGAGGGGAGCAGCGGGCGGGTCAGGAGAGGTCTGCTGCACCAAATGGGTCAACTCCTGGGAGGGGATTGAACTCGTGCTGAAGTGGCTTTAGCTTCTTAGTGCTGTGCTTTAACCCACTGCACCACCAGGGAGGAACACCTCAGGCTATTAATATGAAAGTCAACTAAAAGATGTGCCAGTTATCTGTGGTGTCATCTGTGTAATCTGTTATCCTAGAACTTTGACATAGAGCAGTGTATTTTTATTATTTCCAGTTCTCAGTGGGTCAGGAATTTTGGAAGCATACAGTTGGATGGAGATGTTTGGGGCCTCAAGAGGCTGCAATCAGGATGCCCAGCAGAGCTGCCTGCAGTCCTCTGGGTGACACGCCGTCACTAGGGCCGGGTGTCCACTGGGGGGAAGTTCCTTTACCTGGCTGGCGAGGTGTGGGGCGTTTGAGTTGGTCTCGGGTTCTGCTCCGTTGGCCACTGCATAGTCATCCTGCTTGTCTACATCCTGGGTGGCTGCTTCTGTGAAGCCAGGAATCTAGGAAAGAGAACCAGGCACGGCATTACCTCTTTTAGGACTCAGCCTCATTCTTCAGAAGCAAGTAAGTCTGGAGAATTGAACCTTACCTTTTTTTTTTTTTTGGTCATTTCTTTTCCTTTTTATATTTTATTTTTATTTATTAAAAAATAATAGAATAGTTTATTTTTACATCATTTTGTGCCTTTTTTCATCTCAGTTTAATTCCTGTGGTCTTCCCATCACCAAATCACCTGTGTGCTATTACCGTAGTCCAGTGCACTTCCCCCCTCCCCCCCCCAATTTTGATCCCATTCCCCACTCCACCCCTATAAAATGTCTCTGGTATATATTTTGAACCTTACCTTTTTAAGGGAGGAGGGTCAGAAAATTTCTAGGCAGATTTTAAAGTCACCACCAGAAGGCTTTCTTTAGGTAGTCAGCACATGGCATCCTGGGTTTGCATCTCAGCCAGGGTCCTGGAGTCATTTCCTTAATTCCAGTTTCCTTGTTTGTAAAATAGGAGCTCTCACCTTCAGGGTTGTTTTGTTTCGAGGTAAAAATCACAATTCATGCAAACTGCTGAGTGTAGTGTTGATCTGTTAACACTAGAAGGTAGGAATTCTAGTAGTAACAGAAGTGGCAGTGCCTTCATCCTTACCAAGGTGACATGATGAACAAGACACAGGAAAGGAGTGTATCGTAGAGAGGAACTTGAGAGACCATAGTCAGCAAACAAATTTTGCCCAAAAACGTGCCTTTCACCAAAAACGTGAGGCATGGAAGAGAATTCTGAAGGATATTGATATTTTGATGTACAAGGACTGTTTGTGAGGAAGAATTTGGACTTGCAGTAGGAGAGAGCAAGCTGACGCTGCTGAGAGCTGTGGGAAGTGTGTCTGTACCCCAGGAACCGTGGTTTAATTGGAGAACACTGTAGAGTGTTAAAACAGATACAGATGGTTTAACTTTGGTACCTAGGAGTGGCCGGTTTTTCAACTCTGCAATTACAGTTAACAATGAATGCTATTTAAACTTTTCTATTGTAACTGATAAAGAAAACATTTTTGAGGTAAAATATGAGACTTTGATATGAGACTGATCTCTCTCTTTTTCCAGATACCCTTGAACAGTGGAGATGACATGTACGAGCTACGTGTCACTGGACGAACCGAGGATGAGATTTTATTCTCTGATAGTACACACTTAACGTTTGAGACCAAGAGAATATCTGTCTTTATTCAAACAGACAAGTCCCTGTACAAGCCAAAGCAAGAAGTGAAGTTTCGTGTTGTTACACTCTTGTCAGATTTTAAGCCTTACAAAACCTCTTTGAATGTTCTAATTAAGGTGAGTGCCAGACAGAAATGAAAAATGAATTTCCCAGAAAAATGTGAGACTTCCAAGCCCTGACTTGGAGGAAGTTGTACGCCTACACAGCACCGCCTGCAGGCTAGTGTGGAGAAGTGCATCTGAGAGCCAGGAGGAGGCCTTCTATTTGGGAACCTCGCTTGCCCAGCTGTGACTGTAGGATGTTATTGAAGTACTAAACACAGCTGATTCAGGGATGTTAAGTGTTTTTTTTTTTTTTTTTAATTGTAATCATTGGGTATTATTCATTTTTCCTGTCCCAAAACTGCATTCAGGAAGAAAAGGAGCTTCAGAGACTTTTCAGTGCTAGAAAAACAGGCCTGACTGCTCTCATTCTGGCCTGGTCCTGCCAGTTGCCCAGGCCTCTAAGACTGGGGAAATAAGTGTCTGCAGCACTGTATGGTACCTAGTGTCCAGCGTAGCTTCTGCCCTGACCTTTTCTCAGTGGAGGACGTTGTGCTTCTGGGATGGACCAGGTTTGGGAACAGGCACTTGTGGCTTGGGGATATGTCCTGTGGTTGTGCCCTGTCCCTCCGACCTGGGGCAACAGGGCAAACCCAGTGGATCTCATTCACTCCCGATCTTCTAGATGCTCCAGATTCAAAGTCAGACTTTGTTGGCTGGGGGCTTAGCTCCAGGTAATAAACTTATCAGTGGAGAATGACCATTTCTTTCCCTGTAATTTAAATAACACTGGAGATTATTGTTATGATTTTTTAAAAGATTCATTTATTTATACATACAGAACCAGGCCAGAGGTGCAGGAGTAATGAGAGGATTCACCAGAGACAGAGTGGGTTGCAGATCAGGCAGACTGACAAAGTACACTGCTGAGGGAAGCAGCGGGCAGGTCAGGAGAAGTCTGCTGGCCGTGTGGTCACCTCTGGGGCGTGGCGGGAATCGAACTCATGCTGAAGTGGCTTTAGCTTCTTGGTGCTGTGCCAGGGAGGGCCCTGTTATGACTTTATTTTTGTAACTCTGACAGACTGAAAATGGGATTTCACTCTTTTTGCTTTCACTTCCTTAATTATTAGTCAGTGTATGTTTCTTAGCTTTTGTATTTCTTCCTTTGTGTTGCTGCCTTCCCCGCATCACACTGTGGCAGGCCAGCAGAGCCAACTGTGGGTTACAACGCCCCTCCTTGGAGTTTGTCAAGGATGGTTGACCTGCTTATTCTGGGCTTTTGGTCTTTGGTTTTAACCATTAATTGTTTCCTTACTAGACTACTACCAACTCATTTCTCAACATTGTATTTACTTATGATTTTTTACATTTCTCTACACTTGAGGGGATAGGTTTCTTCTGATCTTCTGACTTCTAATAACTGGGCCAACCCACCAGCACTAGTCAAAGGAAAGAGAATAAAAATAATGGAATTTCCCCCCTTCTCTTTTCTTAGGAGCTCATTGTCTAGTTAGGAACAAAGAAACAAAACCTACCAGTCTCTCCATATGCAGCCCCCAGTCACACCAATGAGTGCTTTAAGTAGTATGTGTTTGCAAGAAGAATGAACTCCAGAGAGGCTAGGGAAGTGGTCCTTTCTCCTGTTTGTTAGAGGCCTGTGTGGAAGACAAGACATTGGAGCTTATTCCACTATTTAGGTGAAGAAGAGGGGATAGTCCACGCAGCAGTTATAGAGGCCTACATGCTTTTGGGGTGAATTGCAAACACGTCTGTTAAGTTTGGAGGAAGTTGAGCCTAGAGATGTAAGTCATGTTAGATTATGAGACCTTGTAAATTATGCAAAGCAGTGTTAACTTTGCTCTGTAGGCAAGTGAAGACTAGTGACCTAAGTCGTCTTACGTGAGGATCATAGCCAGTATTTCTTTACTGCTTGTATCAAGCATTTCCAAGACTTTACCACTGTTGGCAGTGGGGAGGAGGAGCAAGACGGACTGAGGGAGGTTAGTTGCATTAGTTGGAAAACAGGGTGTGGTGGCTGGATATGAAGAAGGAAAGGAGACAGGTGAGAGTGTTGACAGGACTGAGAAGGTGAGAGGAATGGGGGAGACTGCTGGGTTGAGTTGGGTGAATGTTGCCTGAAGGTTGCTGTCTGGGAGGGTCTGGGCTGGCTGAAGTGTTTTTCATGTTCTCCCTTGATTAACATTTCTGTTTATGCACGTTTGTTGAATTTAAAGACACAAGGATTTGACTTCTTAAATCGGTCACATATTGGAGCTATGATTTTGGGCCAACCAGTTGCTTCTTACAGCTTAGTGCTTATCTGAATTCTCTAGGAATCATTGGTTTTCCCAAGCATGAATATAGGTTAATCCTACCCTAAGGAGGATTGAAGGGATGGACCTTCAATTGTAATGATAAGGCAGAGGTCCCAACACACAGTGGATCTGTTATCTCTACAGTGTTATAACAACACTAACAGCCACAGCAACACAATAAAGGTTTGTTGTAGTGTTTCATGCAGGCGATAATGTGTTGCTGTGAATTAGAAAGTGGGGCAGAGTAAAAATGTTCTCAGGACACTGTTTTCTTTTGTAATATAGAGCTGACATTTTCCAAAAATAATTTTTGTGCCAGATTTTGGACTTAGCAGGGAGTGCTGCCCTGCCTATCACCACCTGCTGGGACATGTGTGTGTGTGTGTGTGTGTGTACACACGCGGGCGCTTGAGTAACCAGAGTAGTGTTTACATGGATGGTTTTCATTGTAGGACCCCAAGTCCAATTTGATACAACAGTGGTTGTCAGAGAAAAGTGATCTTGGAGTCGTTTCCAAAACCTTTCAGCTGTCTTCCCATCCAATACTTGGTGACTGGTCCATTCAAGTTCAAGTGAATGTGAGTATAAATAAATTTTTTTTTTTGGGGGGGATGTTAAGATGATTTCAGTAGATCAAGTAGAGCAGTATGTCCAAAGTCATTCAAGGAACAGAAAAAAATAACCCTGAACATTTTAGATAGCTTAAGCGGTTTATTTTTCATTTGGTATGTTTATTAGTGGATTGACATTCATTATAACATAATAGAATTTTAACCAGTGCTATCTTTTCTATCATATAATGTTTGAAAGTTAAAATATTTTGACATTTTAGTATACAGTTGATTAAAAGCTGCTTACTTTACTCATTGTATGCACCAGGTATTTTAAAATTAAGTAAAGAATGTGTGTAACTATTATTTAACAAGTTTTATGTGCCAGAATAATAATTTCTGATGAAGGATTAAACTAATTACTTCACCTTTATTTAAAAGAAATGATTTTAAATAGTCACATAAATCTTCTGTTACTCAACCCTTAGTTCTCTGTAACTCTTCCACTTCTTATTTGCGGTCAACTCTTGTACCTCTGAGATCTGAGAGGGCAGGGAGTTAAAATACCCTCCATCTCTGCCTTTGGTTTTCTCTGCTGTGTCATTCTGTGATGTTTGAAGATTTGTGGGATGTTATTCCATTTTCTTTGGATTTGCCTGGATATGTATACATTTATGGCCCAAAGATTTAAAAAACAGTTCTTTTGAAGCAGGGCTTTTCACTGTTGAAGGGCAGTGACTATTTGTCTTGCTCATTCCCATATCTCTGTGACCTAGCAAAGCGTTTTGTAAAGAATTAGAAGTAAGATTTATTAAATGAATATTTGAAAGCATAATAATAGTCATTTATTGTGAACTAAATATAATTTTCCTTTGCCACACTGTATGAAGCATCTGTATTCTTTTTTTTTTTTAAAGATTTATTTGTGCATACAGAACTGGGGTACAGGCCAGAGGTGCAGGGGCGGTGAGAAGCTTCACCAGAGACAGAGTGGGGAGCAGAACAGGCAGATGGATGAAGTACACTGCTGAGGGGAGCAGCGGGCGGGTCAGGAGAGGTCTGTCACTCCATGTGGATCTCCCCATCCCCCCTCAGGCGGGGGTCGAACTCATGTGAAAGTGGCGTAAGCTTCCTAGTGCAGTGCTTTAACCCGCTGTGCCACCAGGGAGGGCTCATCTTTATTCTTTTTAAAATATCATATTGATCAGGTACTTATTGTTGGTACAGCTCTCCTCTGCCTCCCCCTCATTTATTGATGTATAATTGCAAAAAAAAAATTATAGGGTGTTTAAAGTGTACCATTGTGAAAGGAAGTCCCCAGGTGATACAATGTTAAGGCATATACTAAGGAAAAACAAGGCCTTTTATAAAAAAACAAAACAAAACCAGATTCATTTCTAGGCCACCAGGGGTCAGTATAATCAAAGAAAAGGAACACCTGCCCCCTCAACCTTCCTCTCTTGACTCCTGCAAAACATTCAAGCTTATTCTCAAACTCCTTTTTTTTTTTTTAGCAGTGAATTTTCTTTGCTGCTTTGGGGATGTACATTTCTGCCGAATCACCATACTTTTGCCCTCTCCAGCTCTTTCTCTTAATTTTTCCCTTGACTTCCTGAGGCATCATGCTCTCTCCTCAGGGAGAAGAGATTTATTTAAGGTAGCATCTCAATGGAGACGTGTTTTTCAGGGCTCTTTTACATACTTAAGGTATATTATGGCTCAAGTGGGGATACTCTTTGGTATTGTAGTCAATTCATGAATACACCTTGGGAAGAGAACTTGCTTTAAAAATTAAATGTGTTTGTTTCTTTTTTTTTTTTTGCAGTACTCCTCTCATCTCTAGGGTTCTGTCTCTTGACTGGTGTCCTTGCTTTTTCCACATAATCGCAGATGTTTCACTTCCTCATTCTGTGTATGGTAAAATATAAACACCATGAGATTTACTGTGTTAACTTTTTTTCAGGTGCACAGCTCAAGTCCCACCCAATAGCTCTGCCCCCCACCCCTGCCAACACCCCCTACGACTCTTCATTAGGCAAAACTGAAACTCTGTCCATTCAACAGCCATTCCCCGGACCCCTCACCCCCAGCCCCTGTCCACCCCCATTTGTGTTCTGTCTCTGTGATTTTCATGGCTTTCCTGTAAGTGGAACCGGCAGGCTTCACCTTTCTGTGACTGGCTTATCTCGGTGTCCTTAAGGTTCATCCCAGCAGTGTGCGTCAGAGTTTCCTTCCTTTTTAAGGCTGTACAACAGTGTTCTGTTTATGTCTGTACTACATTTCATTGCAAATGTAATTTAAAAATTGTATGCCAGGTTAGTACATGGCAGTTTTAGAGGCTCTTGAAAAGATAAGGCTTATTTTCTTGGATCTAGGAGGATCTGGCTGCACTAGCCCTGTCCCTGTGCGCCACTGGAGGTCCAGGGTCACCTTGGCGTGGTGCTTGAGTTCTTCTGAGAACTGAAGGAAGAGTAGGACCTGCGTCCCCTTCTTTGATAGTTGCAGTCCTCTTTCCTCAGTAGCAGATGGACACCTCTCTTTCCTTCCAGATTGGCTCATACAGTTAACTTTATTCCCCAGCTGTGGGGGTTCTCAAACTAAGTGTGCTTCCGAGCCAGCTGACTGGGGGCCTGTCCAGCACCCGCTGTCCAGGCCCCATCTCCAGATCAGAAGTCAGCATTGTGGGACCTAGGAATCTGCATTTTAAATAAGCACCCTGGAAATTCTGTTAATTTTTCTGGGTCCCATTTTGAGAAGTGTTTCTAGATGCCAACAGCCAGGAAGCTTTAGTGTTTATTTTTTCCACTGAGAGGCAGTGTTGGACAGTAGAAATCGTACAAACTGGGAGCAGACCCAGTGATGTATTCTTTGAAATCTCCCAGGGGTAAGATTCTGTAGTATTTATCTCTCTAGGTGACCAGTACAGTCAGGAAGACTGGAGTTACAAAATTATATTTTGGGGCCATTTGTGTTTTTACAATAGCTTCTCTAGTGATTCAGATACATGACAAACTTGGGAGCCATTGAACTACATATTCTCGTGAGTTCATTGGCTGTAAGTGAGGACAGTTTCTCAGCTCTTTGACTCATTTGCAAGCCACTGTTGAGGTGGGGCCAGGACTAGAAGGTAGAAAACTAAATAGTCCTAAAGCTTGACAACGCACTCAGGAGTGCTGTATAATATATTGTGGGCATCAGATTATCATATAATTCAGAAGCAGTCACACTGAATTGTTCCTTTGTTCATAACAGTGCAACTTTATCTTTGAGTTATGGTTGAAAGGTTAGGTAAGGCCTGCTAGCACCCACTGCTTTTCATAGCCTTTCAGAGTACCCCTTATCATTGTGGCCCAGCTATTGTGAGCATCCATTTGCTTCTGCTATCAAGTTTGTCTGGAGCCCTCAGTCCTTTGCTGAAGAGCACAGTCTTTGTTTGGACAGTTTTGTTCTTGAGACATCTACCAGTAGCATCTGGTAACCTCCCCGGCTCCCCTCCCCCACCCCTATTTTGATGACAACTGAACAGAAAGCATGGAGCAAACTGTAACAGGTCAGAAAGATGTGGCTTCCTTTCTGGAATGTGGATATGCCTTCCAAAAGGCTTTTGCTAGCCTCTGTTTAAAGAATGGACAGCTTATTTTGGGAAAGACCTTGAGTTCTTACTCCCATATGTAGTGATAAAGGGAAGGAGGGGTTGGTGGTGGAGTTTGGATTCACATCTTTCAACTTCTATGTTTCAACTAGATGGGTGCAGAGGGCACTTAGGTCTTCTTACCTGCGGGTCGGTGGGGGTGAGGCTCTGAGCGCGGTGACAGAGCTGTGAGTGGGAAGCAGAGACTTTCCTGGCGTGGTGGGCTTGTAGAGCGTAGTAGTCGAAGAGACAGTTGGAAGAGTTTGTGGCTGAAGCTGTGGAGGTCAGGCTGACGTGTTAGACTTCATTGTGTAGATAGTCAGGAGGGCTAAAAAACTCTTTACTTTGAAGGACAAAGGATGCAAATGTGTGTTTGAATGAGTTTCATTATAAAATATATGAAAATTATGCTTTCATGATTTTCCGCTGCTTATGAAAGTATTCGTACTCCATGTAGAAATCCTCAAACATTGCAGAGTAGAATGATGTGCTTTTGATAATCTCATAAACAAGAAATCATACCATGTCTTTTCTTGCTGATTTTTAGGCAGTAGTTTGAGGTAATTAAAGTAGCATTTTCAGGGAGAATTTAGTATGTAGACTGATAAGTGGGAGAGGAAGCCAGGAAGACTGCTGCAGGGTTATTAGCATTGTTCAAATATCTGCCTCCCTCCTATGTGGCATACCCTCAGCTTCAGAAGAAACTGTACAGAGCCTGAAAAGAAATGGATTGAATCAAGAGACAGTTTGAAGGAAGAGTCGTTAGGTTCAGTGACTGCATAATGACTAGGATAAAGGAGAAAGAGGAGTGAAACGTATTAAATTAGTTAGATTGGGAGCCATTAGATGGAGAAATTCAGTGCAGTGGGGGTTTATGTAAGCAAACCAAAATCTAAGCCTTTAAATGACTCAAGGCTAGGAAATAAAAACACGAAAGACAACCAATCACACAGCACTAACTAGGTTTTCCCTTATAGCAATCGATCACTTCTTACTTTGTATCTTCCTTTTCACCAACTCCAGTTCTTGTACAGCTCCTGACCACTTCTGTTTTGGCGCTGCCTTATTTGAATAGATTTTTGCTCAAATAAAAAAACTTACAAGAATTTCAATACACTGAAGTTTGTGTTTTAACAAAGGTGACTCTGGGATTTCAAGGGTGGCCTTTGGGAGAATCACCCATTAGAAGAACTGTAGAAGTCAATTTGGGGCCAGGGCATGAACAGGCAGTGTTTGGACTTATCTGGCAGAAATCACCACAGTTGGCAGCTAAGAAGAGGAGTCACCTGAACCAACAGAAAGGGAGGAGGGGGGCTTGGAAAGAGACCAGGAGATAGTGGGAGAGGGTGGGGGGGAAGGTTTAGAAAGGAGAAAGAGAGGGAGAGAAAAAGAGGGA